GGCCCATCATCAGCAGAATACCCCTGGGTGCCATTAACCTGCTCCTATACTAGGTGGAAAATATGTTATCTCATCTCTAATGGTGGGAAAGTTATCCATGCTCATGGATAGGAAGAATCAATATCGTGAAAATGGTCATACTGCCCAAAAGTAATTTATAGATTCAATGCTATCCCCATCAAGCTACCACTGACTTTCTTCATAGAATTAGAAAAAAAAAAAGCTACTTTAAATTTCATATGGAACCAAAAAAGAGCCTGTATAGCCAAGACAATCCTAAGCAAAAAGAACAATGCTGAAGGCATTCCGCTACCTGACTTTAAACTGTACTAGAAGGCTACAGTAACCAAAACAGCAGGGTACTGGTACCAAAACAGATATATATAGGTCAACGGAACAGAACAGAGGCCTCAGAAATAACATCACACACCTACAGCCATCTGATCTTTGACAAACCTGACAAAAATGAGAAATGGGGAAAGGATTCCCTACTTAATAAATGGTGTTGGGAAAACTGGCTAGCCATATGCAGAAAACTGAAACTACACCCCTTCCTTACACCTTATGCAAAAATTAACTCAAGGTGGTTTAAAGACTTAAACCTAAAACCATAAAAATCCTAGAAGGAAACCTAGGCAATATCATTCAGGACATAGGCAGATAAAATTTACATCTTCCAAAAAATTCATGGGCAAACTGGGAAGGTAAATGTAATTATAGAAGATATATTTAACCCAGCATGTACTTTGTGCTAATTGAAAGTGAATCATATTATTACTTAGGAGCATTCTTTAGCTACGATGCTTAATTATGATTAAATGTACTGGGGACAAGCTAACTCACTGTATTATTTTATTTTATTTTTTAAGTTTTGAGGTACAAGTGCAAATTTGTTACATGCATAGATTGCATAGTTGGCAAGTCAGGGCTTTTAGGGTATCCATCAGCCCATCAGCTGAGTAACATAAATTGTACCCATTAAGTAATTTCTCATTGTCAACCCCTCTCTCACCCTCTAAGCTTCCTGAGTGCCCATGGTCTATCATTCCACTTTCTATATCCACGTGCACACATTATGTAGCTCTCATGTGTGAGAACATGTGATATTTGTCTTTCTGTGTCTGATTTGTTTCATTTAAGATAATGACCTCCAGTTCCAACCATGTTGCTGCAAAAGACATGATTTTATTATTTTTTATTGCTGAAAGCATTAAGTGATATTATTTTTTAAAGTCCAAGCCAACCAAATTAGTCTAGCCTGCACTTTGGGGCCATTATTAAGTAAAACGATGGTTATTTGAATACAAACACTGCAATACTGCAACAGTCTTGTAACTGAGACAATTATTCTGGGGTTAAAGGGTGGGTCATGTATACAGTGTGGACACAGGATATTTGTCCCAGGCAAGACAGAGCAGGATTGATGATATTTCATCATACAACTCAGAATGGCATGCAATTTAAAAGTTACAAATTTTTTATTTCTGGAATTTTCCATTAAATGTTTTAGGACCATGGTTGACCATAAGTAACTGAAATTGTGGAAAGTAAATCCACAGATAGGGAAGGGCTACAGTAATACCATGAACAGAGCATTAAGGGTGATTCTGGTCAGGGCTTGGGAGAAAAGAATAGCTGTAGGGAAAGTCTGAATCTTCTTACAGTTTATTTAGATGATCATGGTAAGAATCTGAGAGAAATATGGACACTAGAGGCTATTCTGATGAGATCTCAGATGAAAATGAGGAACAAGAATTGGAAACTGGAGTAAAGGCCATCCTTGTTACAAAGTGACAAAGGACTTGATTGAATTATGCTCATGTTCGAGGAATTTATGGAAGGCAGAGTTCAAGAAAGATGAAACAGTATATGGGGAAAAGAAATTTCTAAGAAAAATGTTGAAGGAGCTGCATGGCATCTTTGAACTGTGTACAGTAAAATACAAGAGGAAAGAAATGATTTAAAGATGGAATTCATAATTAAAAAGGAAACAGAACGTAAAGATGTAGAAAATGTGCAGCCTGGCCATATAAAGAATGAAAAAGCATGCAAGGATGTGGCCAAGCGATGCTTTGATATAAGGATTGATACGAATAGAAGGAAGCTAGGTGCTGTTCATCAAATCAATGGGAGAATGACTCTGAATGCATTTCAGAGATCTTTGAAGCTGTCCCTCCCATCACAGGCTCCAAATATGAGAATCTTGAAGTCAGAAAGGGCTTGGTACTCTCCACATTCTACCACAATGCCCTTGGCTGCTCCAGTTGTGGCTAAAATGGGCTTAGATGAGACTTGCGCTGCCATTGCAGAGGGCACAAACTGTGAGTCTTGGTGGCATTAACACAGTACTGACTGTAGATACACAGACTGCAGGAGTTGTGGGACCGTGGTGCTCTCCACCTAGGTATGAAAGGATGTTTCTGACACCTGCCACAGGGTGTAGCCACTGCAGAGAGCTCCTCCTAGGACTATGCTCAGGGAAACTAGGGGTCAGAGCAGCCACTGAGACCCTAGAACTGTAGAACTATCAGCCTGCAATACTAGCCTGAGAGAGCTATCAGACAGTTGCTGCATGGACTGAGCCCAGCAAAGCGATGGAGCAGGGCTGTCTGAGGGCTTTGGGGGCCTAGCACCAAGACCCCCAGGCAGCCCTGCCCCATGGCAGGCATGTCCAAGAGACAGCACACAGAGTCAAAGGTTATTCTGCAGTCTTAAGATTTAATGCTGTTTTCCCTCTCGGACTCACCTGGGGCCAGTTACCCTTTTTTCTTTCATGTTGCTTCCTTTTGGAATACGTATGTCTATCCTATGCCTGTCCCACCGTTGTATTTTGGAATGAGATAACTCCTTTAATAGGTTCACGTATGGAGGAGAATTTGCCTCAGGATAAGTCCTGGTTTGAGTCTCACTCATATCAGATTTAGATGAGACTATTAGATTTACATTTTGACTTTTAAGTTGATGCTAGACAAGTTAAGACTTTGGGACTATTGAATATATTTTGCATATGAGAAGGACATGGATTTGGGGGGCCAAGGGTGGAATGCAATGGTTTGAATGTGTCCTTCAAAGGTCATGTGCTGGAAACTTGATTCCCAAGCAGTGTTGGGGGGGGGATGCTCACAGGAGATATTTGGGTCATGGTGATGCCACCCTCATGAGTGGATTAATGTTGTTATCATAAGGTTGGGTTCCTTATAAAAGGATGAGTTTGGTTCCCTATTTCTCTGTCTCACCCTCTCTTTTCCTTTCCACAATGGGATGACACGATATTCCTGGTTATCTATAAACATGTCTCATTCTATAAACGGAATCCTAATTTCCACAACTTTCCACATATGTTATTTATTGGGGACAGGTTACTTACCATATAAATAAGTTTGTTTTCCAGAAATGAAACTCTGATCTCTTTGTTTAGAAATCAAAAGATATATACATTTTGAAAGGACCCTACATTCTTCTACGTCACCAAAAAGGCTTCGTTCACTCAACAAACATTTACAACCAGCGTCCTCCATGCTGAGTATCATGATAACAAGAATAAATGCCGTAGCCCATGCCTTCAGGCTATTTGCATTGCACATGGAGGAATGTCCGAAGTAAATGATTATAAATAGACTATAATGTGTCAAATTATGAGCACAAGACAGGAAATAATGATACATGAATGGGGTAGCTTACCAAGAAAGGTATTACTGAGGAGGAAATATTTTAACTGGGTTTTGGAGAAGGAGTTTGCAGAGTGGACAAAAAAGAAGAAACATTCCAAGAAGATGAAACAGTTTCAGCAGGCCTGGCAAATTTTATTCTCTACCCCTTTCTTAGCTACACTAAGACATATTTGACTTACCTTCTTTTTAATCTTGGACATTTTTTTGTTTATTTTAGCTTTTTAATGCTTCTTTTGAGTATTCTGCTAAAAGAATAAGAAGAATGTACCCTACCTTGTACAGTTGTATAAAAGAGTGAAAATGAAATAAATATATTTGGCACAATGCATGGTACACAGACAATACTTCACAGGCAATATACATACACTGAGGGTGTATGGAACTTATCCACGTACTATACATTTTGATTTTAGTTGTCTAAGAAAAATAATTGTAATTTTTTTTCATTTTTGCCAAATTCTGTTTTCTATGCCTGTATCTTATACAAGTACTTGCAGGAAAATGATGAGGGTTTATCTGTTCTACACCCAGATTGTCCAATAAAATATCTGAGATGAATATTATTGAAGGCTTAATACCTTTAAATATTCTTTACATGCAATTTTGATGATCAAAGAAGTTTTGCTAAATCAAAACTTCCTACTCTTAATGCCTATACTGTAAGACATACAGAAAAATGTGTTTTTACTCTTTAAAGTCAACGAGTCATAGCTATGTACTTTCACTTGAGGTGGTGGAATAAGATCTGACACAGAGTTTAGAACTTCTTTGGGATCTGACCATCTCCCAGACCATCCAAGAAGCACATATGGGATCAGAGTCATCCTCATTATAAATGGGACATCCTTCTCCCAAATGAATCCTTCCTTCTCATTCCTTTCCAACATTTCATCTGACCAGGACGTTCTTTGATAGCAAAAGATATATTCACATTTTAAAAATTACCCCACATGATTTGCAGAGAGCAATCTACAGGTAGGAGGGAGAGTCACATATAAAAACAAAATGTGAGAGTCATGTTACCAGTGCTTTGTAAAATACACTGCATAAGGCCAAAGACAAGGGTGACCCCACTGACCAAGAAATATGATTAGTGTTTCCAATGCAGGAGCACAGCAGGAAAAGGAAATGTGTTATTTTTTTCTGTTTTGAAGTATTTAACTAGAAACACATAATTATGTAATTACATGATTAAGCTTTCCAGCAGGTAAATAATAACAAGAAAATAATGACGTGGTGACAATGGGCCTTCAGAAGGGTATAAAAGGGGCTATGGGTCCAGAAGATTTCCAAACCCAACAACTTCACTCTCCTGGAAACCCACCCAGATCCTCCAACTTCTGACACCATGGTCAACTCCTGCTGTGGCTCCGTGTGCTCTGACCAGGGCTGTGGCCAAGATCTCTGCCAGGAGACCTGCTGCCCTCCCAGCTGTTGCGTGTCCAGCTGCTGGAGGCCCCAGTGGTGCCAGTCTGTGTGCTGCCAGCCCACCTGCTGTCGCCCCAGCTGCTGTCAGAGTACCTGCTGCAGGACCACCTGCTGCCGCCCCAGCTGCTGCATCTCCAGTTGCTGCCGGCCCAGCTGCTGTGTGTCCAGCTGCTGCAGACCCCAGTGCTGCCAGTCTGTGTGCTGCCAGCCCACCTGCTGCCGCCGCAGCTGTTGTCAGACCACCTGCTGCAGGACCACCTGCTGCCGCCCCAGCTGCTGCATCTCCAGTTGCTGCCGGCCCACCTGCTGTGTGTCCAGCTGCTGGAGGCCCCAGTGCTGCCAGTCTGTGTGCTGCCAGCCCACCTGCTGCCGCCCCAGCTGCTGTCAGACCACCTGCTGCAGGACCACCTGCTGCCGCCCCAGCTGCTGCATCTCCAGTTGCTGCCGGCCCACCTGCTGTGTGTCCAGCTGCTGCAAGCCCCAGTGCTGCCAGTCTGTGTGCTGCCACCCCAGCTGCTGAGTCCAGCTGCTGTAGACCCCAGTGCTGCCAGTCTGTGTGCTGCCAGCCCACCTGCTGCCGCCCCAGCTGCTGCCGCCCCTCTTGCTGTGAATCCAACTGCTGCCGCCCCTGCTGCTGCCTGCGTCCAGTCTGTGGCTAAGTCTCCTGCCACACCACTTGCTACCGTCCAACCTGTGTCATCTCCACCTGTCCCCACCCCATGCGCTGTGCCTCCTCTTGCTGCTGAGCCCTGGCTCACCTCTCCCTTCACTGCTGGCCCACAGATGTAGACCCTTCTACTGTGCTAACCATTAGGACACATGGAGTGGGATTGATGTCATTCAGTAGGATGGACTTCATGTTTCCAATGAGCCCATCACCATTTCACTGATTCTGTGAGAATATTCTGGCTGATTTTAAACTCCGTCCCTTGCTTTCTTTTTCTTCCAGTGGTGGCAACAAGTACAAATTAATTGTAATCCACTAGCTATAAAATTATTCCAATCGTCTAAATTCCTCATATTATTTATCACTTTGAGGCTATAGATTCTCCTTCTCAGTGAGGTAGACATTACCTGCAGGACCAGTATTGTCACTGATGTTGCACCCTCAGACCCAGGCGTCCAGTTATATTCTTTTCCTCTGAGTGTGACTTTCTTATGTTTTGTTGCATCTCTGCTTTCTAATAAACTTTTCTGCACATAAGAATTCATTGGTATCATCCTCTATTGCTTTCATATCATTTTACTGATTCCCTAGGCAATTATATTTTACACAAAGACACAGGAAGAGCAACCCATGTTGAAATCACTTTGAAGATATATGCTATATCAAATATAGATAATTTAAGGCAATGGAATAAAAGTGGTGTGTGTGTGTGTGTGTGTGTGTGTGTGTGTGTGTGTACATGTTCTTAATATCCTAAATTAGGACAGATTTAATTGATGCCTTGGCTCTTGAAACACATTTTATCTTTAACATATTATATCTCATTTGGAAAAAAAAACATATTATACCTCATAATACTGTTGTCCATATTTTGACAAAAAGGATAAAACCAAATTTCTGAAAAGTAGACATCAAGGAAAGAAGGGAAATCTTCTATAAAGAATTTAATGTACTCAATTCATTTCACTCAATAAATAACATTTGGGAATTTATAATCAAAAAGTGGTTTTTATTTCTAAGTGAGTTTTGCATATGAGAAAAAACGCATATTGAGCTGTATTTCATCTGGATAGTGTGGTGTATTTCTGACTGTGGTCTCTAAGGATTTACCTTACAATTCAAACATCTCCACACTTAACATTTAAATATATGTAAACCCAGCAAGGGTGAAAATTTCAAGGCTCACTTTGCTTTTTAAGGATTATTTTATTGGAATTAGTTCATAGCTTTGAGTAGTTCTCAGCTGGGGTGCATATCCTAATTAGAATCTCCAAGAGTGGTTCCTTCATCTGAATCTGAAAGAATACCATAAGTGATTATAACATGGCATTCTAGTGGGAGCACCTGCTTTTGATGTTTTTACTTTTATTTTCCTATGATCAGCTCTGAAGAGACCCTAAGCTATTGAACCAATCAAATTTATGTAACTTAAGTAATCTTTAATAAATAAGCTAGCTTTAAAATTATTGGCAAAGTAATATTAGAAATGTCTTAAGAAGTGTCAGTATGCATTTTTGTTTGCATTTATTAAGCAATTTCATACTTATCCCTGTCAAGCACTATAAGTTGCCAAAATTTGTCATGAGGTTACAAAACTGTAACAGAATGATTTTTGCTTATGCAATCTTTAATAAAGAAGACATTGGTATTGTTTTAATAAAAATAGCCACATCTTGAATTTAGTAAGATTACTATAACTTCTAATCTTGTGGCTTTAGGTGGTCTAGTCCACGGGCAGTAAGATTTGTTTTGGGAATGAACTGTTATAAACCTGTTTTGAAGGTAAACTATAAACTAAGTCCTTCTCAAAGTTAGTTCAGGCTATGACTATGAATGAAAAAGAACAGCTTGAGGGTTAAAAGCAAGATGGAGTCAGTTAGGTCAGATCTTTTTCAACATCTCAGTTACAATTTTGCAATGGCAGTTCCATAACTTTAAATGATGACTATTGCAATTTTCATAAATAATCTAGGTAAACAATTCCTTTTTAAAAAGGTGAACAGTTTTGTCTAATTCAAAGCCTATTTAAAGGGTATGTATAAAACAAGGTAAAAAGAACCAGGAAATAAGAGAGATGTAAAGAAAGTTATAAAAATAAAGAGGATAAAAAGGGTTCTTTTGGTAAGAAAGCTTAAAGAGAAATAATTTTATATGAGGAAGAATCTTGTATGGTAAATTTAGTCCTAGAATAAAATGGCTGTTTCAGAAAGAAGGATATTCAAGACAAACCAGAAATTCCAAGCATATCATCAAAAGTCTGTGTAAGTCACAGTAAGAGGATTTATTTAGAAAAAACACTAAAAATCTTTTATATGATCAAGTTGTCTATAATTAAAGGGTAATTATAATGGTCTTCATGGAGATTGGACTTGATGTTAAAAAAAAACACTTCTACACTAAATAATTAGGGAGAACAATGAAATTTTTTAAGGGATTGATTTACTCTTAATAAATTATAAGAGATTTTAATTTTTTTAACCTAATTTAAACTTTTATTGAATTTTGCTGTTTTCTGTTTTCTCTCCCCTTCAACTCATCTCCAGCTCATAAGTTATTTCCCTCAAGTTCTGTTTGTTGTGGCCTGATGCTAACAATGTTTTCTAAAAATCTAAAGGAAAATGTTTTCTTCCAACATAATATTCTGTGCAGTGCAAAATGTCTTTTCTTTTGCCTTTTGGTAATTGGCCTAACAGATTTTATGGTTTATTGAAACAATTCCTATGTCACAATACTACTATATTAAATTTTGGATTGCTTAGGAAAAAGAAACTGAGATAATATTTTTAAATTAAGGTTATTACATCCATGTATATTTCTCTATGTGCTTTGAAAGTACCTGTGACATTGAGTTATAGGCCTTTGACCCCTGGGTCTAAAAAGGACACCAAAATCTGCTAAATCTTAAACACTGACAGCAAATAAAACCTCATCTTCAGGCCTGGTAGAAGATGCCAATAAAAAAAAAAACTGCATTCCTGAGACATAGGGCCAGAAATCAAAGCTATTCAACTCCTCAAGGCTCAGGGACTATCACAGAAGAAGTGGGCATGTAAGATTGTAAGGACTGATTTTGAGAGATAAAATAAGTTCACTTTCTCTACAAAATAATCATTCATGTCAAAGGCACACTGATGCAAGACCAGCATGTGGGCTCCTGTGTCAGGTTAACAAGGTTTTCTTGAAGTGTTAACTGACCCCTTAATAAAGGCTATAAAGGCTGTAAAAGGCTTATGGAAGTTATATCTCATGGTCAAGATTAAAATTTTATAGATTATTTATAACATTTTGAAACACAAATTTAATTGGCTTCATGCTGCTTTATTAGGACTTACTGTTTGAAAAATTGACTTATTTTGTGGTGACCTGTCATATCAAGTGTTTTAAACCTTTAATATTCTACAAACTTTCTAAAATCAAATTACAAATCAAATTAGTATTTTCCTGATCTAATTAATTCTTTAAGATATTAGTTTCCCTAAACTCCAAAAATGACATAATTTGACTTATTTAGCATAAAAATTATATAGGAAGCATATATAAAATGGTGTTTGGTTTTCTTTGGGCTGTATTGGTATGTACTCCAAAATTATGGGAAACTCCTATAATTCTAATATGACATATGTACTTTCTCAGTAATAATTATAATTGTCATGTTAAATTATTCTGTGCCATAGTAGTAACAAATTTTCTTGTCAATTGTGTTTTTGACTATGGCTGCTCTAAAACTTTTTGTCACCCATGGACAATTGTTGCCTTGTTTTGGTCCTCTTTAGAAGGTGGTTTTATAATCAGCTATGAAACTCTAACAGGTGTTCCGTAATGCAGGTTTCTGATAACTTTGGAGACTGTGACATCAGAATGGAGGAAAAACTTTCAGGACTTATGGAGAGCTGAAATGTTCATGAATATCAAGCAGAACAGGAATTAACTGCATGAACTGAACTAATAGAAGACTGAAGAAATCTTTTTGACTTTTTGCTTAAAACATTGCTGATCCTGTTTTGTTTTTTCAGTCAAGGAAACTTTTCTTTTGAGCTATTGACAGTTTTTAACAAGTTAGTATACTCCCATGAACAAAATTTGGAGCATATTTGTTTCTCTCTACCTGATTTTCTCCAGAATAGGAAACTATTTGTGAGTAATCTTAACTTATGGCAATACAGTTATTTGCATAAGAGCAATAAGAATCTGTTCTTATTTGTAACAGGACACAATTGGAGAAATTGGTCATTTTACCAAGGCTTTGACTGGAATAATGTGCTCCCCTCTAAGGAATGAAACTTGACTTATGGAGCCAATAAAAGCCCCTTGGGAAAACTGGCTTCATACCTTGTCTACACAGTGCCTGTACAAGGTTCCTGATTGTGGTAAGTAAAGCACGTCACTTTCTAACAGATCCAGAAACTCCACATTTATCTTGGAACCTCAGGATGAGAGGAATTCACCCAACTGATAAGTATTTGATGGTACAAATCCATGGCTGTGCTCAGCTTTTCAAAAGTCTTACCTAAGATTCCTTCTATGAAACAAAGTTCTGACAGGGACAGGGGCAGAGGAATTCTAGGCAGAAAAGGGTAGATCCCTGAGAAAACCCCACCTTCAAGCTGAAAAGCCTGAAACTGTGGCCCAAAGTGAGAACTTATAGCCCTGTGTTCCTGCTCGAAGGTTGTCTTTTCCTAAACCACTCATGACCCGGTCCTACCCCATCCTGTGCCTGTAAAGATCACAGACTCATCTGGCAGATGCAAGAAGCAGCTAGATATTGGGGACTACAGCTGGACATCAGAGAGAAGCAGCTTGACTTCACAGGGACAGCTTGATGGTGTAACTTCAGAGAAGAATCTGGTTGGATAACAGCCTAACTTTGGGGAAGATTACCTACCCACCCCATCCCTTTTCAGCTCTCCTTCCTGCTGAGAGCCATCTTCATGGGCAACAAAATCCCCCACATTTACCATTCCTCAATAGGTTTGTGTGGCGTCATTTTTCCTGGACACCAGACAAGAGCTTGGGAGCCAGGAGACCAAATACAAAAGGCTGTCATACTGGCCCTCTGCCCTTGCTGGTGGTGGGCAGCTGCCTGATGTGAAAAGACAGAGGGCTCACTGAGCTGTTAACACTTAAGCCATCCATGGACGGCAGAGTTAAAAGAGCACTCACTGTAACATGCCCTGTTGGGCTATGGGGCTTGTAGACACCCCCACCTGGATGCTGCTGTGGGGCCCACACAGAGTTTGCTCCTGCCAGCACCCAAAAGTACTCACTCAGGCTCCTGTACCCATTCATATACATACTTCCTCCCAAGAGCGGGGGCTGTTGCAAGTCTGAGTGAGTGGAGTTGATCCCACTAGCTCTAAATGCCGGTTCCAGCATTCATGCACTCCAGTTCCCGCCTCATTCACTTTCATTCTCCCTCCTGCAAGGAGTTGAGAGTGTGAGGCTGAATAAACGAGGCACCCCTGTCACAAGTCTCACAAAGGGGTCAGGGAAACATCCTACTTCAGTTCCATCAAAGCGAATTTAAGAGCTTATGCAAAAAAAAGTTATTACTATTGTTGCACTGTATGCAAATAATCAGGCCAAATATAATACAGCAAATAAGTCCTGCCATGATTTTTCTTTAGTAAAAATAGGAAACTGGAGAGAAAAGAATTACGTTTCAAAAAATGATAGTATACCTGTTGTTAGATTCTAGTCTTGCCTAATGTTTTTTAATTTTTATTATTTTCTACAGTTTGGACTGAATTCTAATTTTTCTTGGCTACAAGTCTTCAAAAGATTGTTTTCAGTTTTTTTCCTTCTTCTTTCCCCAATTTTTCCTAAGTTGGAGTCCCTGAAAACTCAGCTGTGCTTTTGTAAAGCTCTGCAAACTGAAGCTAGACAATTTAAACTTCAGAAGAAAATATCAGCAACCTATTTACATACATAAGCCACATTCATGCCTGCCTACTGATGTATGGGCTTCAGAGTAATGTAGCCCATATTTATTTTCCAGGATTGTTCTTTTGTTTATTGTTGATGTTCTCCCTTCCTCCCCCTATTTTCTCTTCATAGAACATGAAACTTCACAAGCTGCTAAAAATGAACTTTCCTAATAACTCAGGACCTACCTGTCTAGGAATAAACAATCCTAGCCATGAGATATCAGGAGAAACTTGAGACCAGAGACGAATTTTCTTCTAAAACGCTTTCTCCAAAAGATTTTTAAGAAGAAAACGGGGAGGCTGGACGCAGCGACTCACACCTGTAATCCCAGCACTTTGGGAGGCCGAGGTGGGCAGATCACCGGAGGTCAGAAGTTCAAGAAAAGCCTGGCCAACATGGTGAATCCCTGTCTCTACTAAAAATACAAAAATTAGCCAGGTGTAGTGGCACATGCCTGTAATTCCAGCTACTTTGGACGCTGAGGCAGGAGAATCGCTTGAACCCAGGAGACGGAGGTTGCAGTGAGCAGAGACTGGGCCACTGCACTCCAGATTGGCAACAGAGCAAGAAGACTCTGTCTCAAAACAAAACAAAAAAATAAACAAATAAAAAGAAAAAAGAAAAAGAAGAAGAAGAGGGGAGAAATGTGAAAGGTAAATAAACCTTGGGGCCCTGAAATCACTAAGCTAAAGGGAAAAGTCAAGCTGAAAACTTCTTTGAGCCAACCTATCTCCCATTCTATTCAGTCATTCCTCTGCTCCTGAGATAAATGCATACCTGAGTGCCACCTTTGGAAAGACTAATCAGAAACTCTAAAGAATGCAACCATCTGTCTCTTATCTACCTATGACCTGGACGCCCCCTCCTCACTTAGAGTTGTCCCATCTTTGCTTAGAGTTGTCCTCTCTTTTCGAGACTGAGCCAATGTTCATCTTACATATGTTGATTGATGTCTCATATCTCCCTAAAATGTATAAAACCAAATTGTGCTCTGACCACTTTGGGCACATGTCATCAGGACCTCCTGACGACAGGTATGCATCCTCACCCTTGGCAAAACAAACTTTCTAAATTAACCGAGACCTGTCTCAAATTTTCACAAGGCCACATTGACTTGTCCCCTGTGTGAAGCCCAGCAGGCACTTTTCAGAGCAGGCTCTTTTCGCTTGCACCTTTGTGCATCAGCACCTAACTCTTTTGCAAGATAAGGGATCCTACAGAATACCAGCGGACCACCAGAGAGTTACAAGTTCCTAATACCTAGGACAACCTGGGAAAGAGAACAAAAGCCCTTTATTCCTGATGTAGCTTTCCAAATCTCTAGCCAATTTGCACCAAAAGCCCAAGAAACTATGAGCTACAAGTTCCTTCCTGAGGTGGGGTGGGGTGGGTGGGAAGGTGGCCAGGGACTTCCCTGGGATCCTGCATACACCGCTAGGCTCAAGGTTCAGCTTATAGTAACCTTTTCCTCATTTTAATGGTAAAAAGAACAACAACAAGAAAAACACCCCTAGCTGGAGATTTTGTTTGTTGATGATACATACGGTGGGTGTTAGACCATGAGAATCCTAGGCACATGTGCCAGTTGCAGGTCTGCCTTTGCATACATGACCTCACCAGTATTTTGGTTATGTATGTATAGCTCCCATGAAAGTAATTCATCTTACAGCACTAGCCGCTGTCTCTCCTTTTGAACTCTGCTTCTTAAAGCGTACTTTTGCTTTGCAATGAAATTCTTTGCTTACTCTTACTTTGGATTTGCTCTAAAATTCTTTTTTTCCCCCCATTTATTTATTTTATTGCATTTTAGGTTTTGGGGTACATGTGAAGAACATGCAAAATTGTTGCATAGGAACACACGTGACAGTGTGATTTGCTGCCTTCCTCCCCATCACCTACATCTGGCATTTCTCCCCTTGCTATCTCTCCCCAGCTTCCCACCCCCACATCGTCCCTCCCCTGTTTCCCCCCAACTGACCCCAGTGTGTAGTGCTCCCCTCCCTGTGTCCATGTGTTCTCATTGTTCAACACCCGCCTATGAGTGAGAACA